CCTCTTCTCCTTTTGCCTTCAATCTTTCCTAGCATCAGGGTCTTCTCCAAAGAGATCTCTCTTCGCAATGAAGCCTCTGTGTCTTAGTAATAATTGGACCATGCTTAGAGCTTGGGTTTTTAGACTGTGTTCTGAGTTTTTTTATCTTGGTATAACTTTCTCTAGAAAAGGTTCTATATATTTAAATTTAGCTCCAAATTTGGCACAGATTAAATGAGATTCAGATTCATAAGATAATACTAATTCCAAGGTTATAAGAAGCCTTCCTATTTTTATCTCATCAAACTATTTTTAAAGAATGCATAAACTAATAAACTGTTTCCCCAAACAGAGTGACTGCAAAAATTACAAAGACCCATTTGAAGAGCTGAACTTAGGTTTCCACTCTTTTAGGATGCTTGACTGATGTTATGTGCCATCAAGTCAGTGTTGCCTTTTAGCAAAAAAGTAGAGTGTCTCCAGGATGATCTATCCTCAATCTGCCTCTTCAGGTTTCAGGATATTTGCTACATGTGGATTTTATTACTGTTTGTTGGTTGGCATAAGGAAATTCAGAATTCAACTCTGTCAGGCTCAACTTGAACTGTATTATTTGACCTCCACTGAAATCTTGGCAGGTATGGAGATTCTTGTTTGTTCAAAGATTGGTGTCAGTATCCAGGTCCAAGAAAGATAGGAAATACTGGGTTGAACATTTATTTCCTCCCTCCCTCCTTCCTCTCCTCTCCTCTCTCTCTCCCTCTTCTTTCTTTTCTTTTTCTTCTTTCAGGTACTTTTATGCTGGGTCAGTTGGGTGAATCTAAGCAACTTACAAGTATAATAAAATATACAACAAAAAAGTCTCAGTCCATTAAAAAAGTAGCAAAATCAAGTAGTAGCATCACATACCTTCTAGGTACCAAATTCCCAGGCTGTCTTGTTCCCTCTTGCCCTTAGGTGTGCTTGTATCATTTGAGAGTTTCTGGGATGGGGCCTTCTCTGGCCCAAGTTATCAGATAGCAGGACAGAATGATCATTGCCTTCTTCCAGTTGACTAAACAATAATGGGAAAAATTAACTGTCACTATATTATTTCAATGGTTAGGGAAGATAGGTGTCCATATCTATAGCACACCATTCTGTTTTATCTAACAGTGCCTTATTTGGAATAAATTTGCAAAAACACCTTTTTTAGTTACCATATTGTACTTGTTTTTGATAGACCTTGTCATAGTGTGGGGTTGTTCATGTGTTTGCAGCTGCATCAGAATTACTCCAGGTTCTTGAATGCATAGTGCAGCTTTTGAACCCCAAAGCCCATTCTTTTACTGTTCAATCATTTGCTCTAAGTTAACTATCCTTAATTAGGTCTAATTTTTCTAGATTTGATTGTCTTCATAGGTCTAATATTTTTGTTGAAATGGAAGGATTGGGTTCTTCGTGTTGGAGGCTCTAGTTAGTCTACTGGTTACAGATCTAGCTGAGCTTCTACTAAAAATAATTGAGCTTTGCCATCAGCAGACTCAGGCCAGGTTCCAGATTAGTAAATCCTTTTGTTCTTTCAGGCTGGTTATTTAGAATTGAGTTTGCAAGATGCTCAGGTCGGAGCTTGCTGCCTCTTTAATTAGGTGTAACTTTGTAGACCCTTTAAGTAGGTCAGAGTGTGCAGACACCTTAATTAGCTCTGAGTTTGCAAGCTACTAAGCTAAACCTGAGTTGGCTGTCCCCTAAGGTCTGAGTTTATAGGATGCTCAGGTGGGTCTGAGCACAAAATCTCCTTAATCCAGTCTGAGACTGCAAATGTTTTAATTAGGTCTGAGTTTGTAGAGAAGTCTTTCTGTTCAGTTTGAAATAAAATTACATTTTTCTTTCTATGGTTTAATTTTAATCATGGATTCCATTCTATATTCTTGGAATCTTTTTACTCCTCTCACTCCATCTACAGCTCTTGGTTCAGAGTGAGTTTCCTTTAAATCTTAGTTTTGGCAACCCACGTATTCGCCATTGAAACATTTTTGAGGCTGATCGTCCATGAGTGTCCCCTTCCTTCTCCCTCTCCCTTTCTCTCTGCCTGGCCTTTCCCAGTGCTAGTGTACCTGCATCTACATTTGGCAATGGTGGTGATGATGGTATAGGCATCATTTTTAGGGACCTAAGCAGGGAACTTTAGCTTTATTTTAATTAGATATTTTATTAAAAATAATCCTAAAAATGCAATAACAAGCATAACTAAAAGTACATATAGAAGCAGAAATGTAAGTCCATAATGCCACCCACCAGGGCACAAAACACCATACATAAATCAGGAATAATAGAAAAGCTGGAGTCTCTGAACCAATGGGATACCCCAACCTCATCAGAACTTTCTCCTCCAGGAAGGCATGTTTGATATTATTGAAGACTTTCACCTGATCCAACTGGGCTGGATGGTTTCACTGTTCACTGTTGCTAATATTCCAGACAACCTCCCACTGGAGACCACAAATTGCTCATGTGGCCAGTGACACCACCACGTGTCCTTTATAATAAGCTCAACCATCTTAGCCAGGCAAGCATTCAATGTGGATGCCTGGAGCTGGTAGTCATAGATGGCCAAAACAGTATGTTGCCTGGTATAGCTGGCACATAAGGTTCCCCCTTTGGGAAGATCAAATAACTGGGCATTTACATGTGACATGCTTTGCTGGCTCAACCTATCCCCATGACAGCTCCTGTATGCATTCCCTTCTGCCTCTGACCACGGTGTGAGAACCACTTTGAGCCCTCCAGCTTTTTTGCTGGTTCCACACCAGAGATGACTGCCTCTCACAACTGCTCTGCTATTTCAGCCCAGGAAAGGTTGTCCACTCTCACTATATCAGTGCTTTTCAACCTTGGCAACTTTAAGATGTGTGGACTTCAACTCCCAGAGGGGGAGATTCTGAACTTTGGCTGGGGAATTCTGGGAGTTGAAGTTCACACATCTTAAAGTTGCCAAGGTTGAAAAACTGATCTATATTAAGCCCAGCCTGGGACACAGTGAGTCCACACTGGAGAACCAAAGTCTTGTCCTCTACAGATTCAGCACCAGATGGAAACAGTACCACTGGAACTTTCACAAAGCATAAGGGATTTGCATGTCCTTAAAGTAAGTCCTTCAGCCTACCACAGCTGTTGTTTGTGCTTTGCCATTGCCCACACTGAATGAAAGGTAGTCATGCCCCAAATTAAGAGACTCCACTGTGACTGTCTGGAAGATGGCTTTTTGTGGGATAGGTTGCTGTCAGATGGTATGGCTTCAGGAGTAGGTAGGCTTTCACAAAGGTAACATGCTGGTACAATGATACCATGACCTCTATTAGTTTAAATGGCCTTCACAGAAGGGGGCTCATGCCTCCCAACCCTCCCTCAGGTGACCCTCCTATATCATGAAGCTGACCATCAGCCCAACCTTAACTCCAGAATAGTATTATTTATGGGAAACAGTTCAGCAAATGAGAGTGGTGTTTTGGAACCTGAAAACCAAGAAGTTATGGCCGTGCAACAAAATAAAGGCATGGAAGAGGACCACAAGCCTCACTCAGAATTTTTGCAGGGAAACAAAAAGAAAACAAATCACTGGGGGGGAAAACCAAATCCACAGATGCAGCACCACACCGTGCATGCCATGGTGTGGAAGGAAGCCTAGCTTAGGGCAGTTAAAGTATTTGTTCAAAAATGTATGTATATCTGCCAAAAGAAAAGAAAATCAAGCTAAACTGCAGATATGAGGAAGACTCCCAACTTAGATCTTAAGTTAAAAAAAAAAACACATATTTTTTAAAATGTCCAAGGGATCGCCCCCAACTCCATCTTCCTCAGACCTCATGCAACCCTAATGCCAGACCAGGGGGAAGAAGTTATTTTAGAGATTGCTTAAAGGTAGAGGCTGTAGAAATCTCTGGGGGGAAGTTGTTCCAAAGGCAGGTGTTGTGAGAAAGGTTTCCTGGGTCCAGCTAGATAGCATTGCTTAATCAATGGGACCTGAAACAAGCTGACTTTGTTGGAAGGATAAGCACCTGAGGGGATTCAACCGCTAGCCTGACCATCGTATCCAGCGTCCAGCAGCAACAAACCCAACTGCCCCTTAGAGCCCCTCTTCAGCCGTAAGGCTATCTGCTATACAGAGCCTCTAAAAGCCTCAGAGCTTTTCCCAGAGGACAGGTGCGTCCCCTCCATGCCAAACACAGAACCTGGGTGGACACATCTTCAAGTGGTGAGTGCACCCTGGTCTCAGATATATTGGCCACATCTGCCTCATCCATGATTAAGGCATTGGTAAGGATGGGTTTATTACCTACTGGATTGGCATTTAACAGCAGCAGCAGCTGGAGACCCAGGCCACCAAGGATCAGAGGCCTAGCTCCAGAGGCAAACACTGACAGCTTGGAGGCAGGAGTAATCTCAGCCGCTGCACGTGCTGCTCCTGAGAACAGCCTGCCCTCGCATCAGAGTTCACCAAAGGAACTGAGCCCACCAGGAGCCAGTCCACTGGGAGGCCCCGCAAGCCAGCACACTCAGACTTGGCTCTGAGAACTAAAGCCAACAGTCCAAGATGGCCATCAAGAATGTACCCAACTCTCCCAAATGGAGAAAACTGTGCCCAGGAAAAAGCCCATAAACATTGAGTGCCACTGTTAAGATTGTTAATATGAGCTTGCTTCCTTCCTTCTGCCTTTCTTCCTGAGCACATCTGCAAAAAACACATGCCCTCTAATGCATTTCCTGTAAATGAATCTCCATTTTGTTATAGTTAAAAACCTTCTCTGCTACTCCTTGCAAGCTAGCAAACTGACTTTTCTTCTTCCTTTTTCTGCAGCCAAAGACAGCCCCAGCCCCACCCAGGAGCATGGCAAAAAGGGGTGTTTCAGGACGCTGCCATTGAGGGGCTGCCTTTAGCACTTTTTTGTTCTGCAGCCAAAGCCAGCCCAGCCTGGCCCAGCAGCCAGGCCAGGCGTGCCTTGTCGGCAGCAGGAGCAAGAAGGCAAGGTCAGCTGGGACAGCCAAGCGCAGGGCTGCAGAGGCCCAAAAAAGTAGTGGCGGGGGGGAATAGGCAGGCAGGACTGGGCTGGGGCTGCTGCAGCTTCCTGGGGACTGGCAAGCAGCCCCAGAGCTGTGCAGTCCTGGGGCTGGTTGCTGCCCTACAAGGCAGGGTGCAGGGTGGCCAAAAGGGCAGAGATGTGGGGGGAGATAGGCAGATGGGGGGAGCTGGAGGCAGCCCCTTACCTTACTGAGGGCTGGGAGGGACCAAGCCCGGAATGGCTTGGATTGGGGCTATGGCTAACGACCGGTGGAATTTGCTTGATGGCAGCAAGGGGAATTGCCAGTATTGCTGTGGCTAAGCAAAGCGGTCACCTGATGTCTCGCTTATTAACTACATCGCTTAGCGACCTAAATTCCGGTCCCAGTTGTGGTTAAGTGAGGACTACTAAACCTGTATTTTTTTTATTAACAGGATTTTATAAAGGGTTTGTGATTTACAAATGACATATTTATGTAGACCTAAATTAATATTAAAGGGGGACGCGGTGGCGCAGCGGCTTAATGACGCTGAAAGTTTCTGGCCAGAAATGGTCGACGCTTCAGCGGTTCGAGTCCAGCCTTCGCGTTAAACAGGGTGA